AGTATATAAAATAACGATATCAAATTAAACATTACCTGTAATAATGCACGCGATTTGTAGTTAGGGCTGCCAGTTGAAAAAGTTAATAAACGGGAGCTTTCAATAGTTTGCATATAAACTCCCGGGAGAAATCCGGGAGATGTTAATTATGAATTATACAAAATTTTTCATCGATTTTTAACCATATTATTTCTTACTATTAAATATATAAATATAATTTAATGTTGTCATTTTTAAATTTGATATTAGACCTTTGGATATAATTGAATAAAATTATATATTATTTAAATTATATGCAAAACAAATGCTTTTATAATTTAGTAGCCTTTGTAAACTTTTATTAACATTGAAATAACTTTATTAATTAGTAACTAGTTAAACTGGGAAAGACATTTGAGGCAAGATAATTTTAATACTTTCGTAAAATCTCCATTAAATACATGATAGCATACGCATGTTGCGACCACTCAAATATACTGTACACCACATTATCACTATTTTCACTTATATGTAGATTAGTTACTACTAAAGGGTTCAAAACTTATTAATAGAAAATACATTATATTTGAGTCGCAAGACGCGTTTGCAACTATGTATTTCATGAAGATTTGACAAATTTATTATTCATATTATCTTGCTTCATTTTCTGATGATTGGAAATAATAATCTGATCCCTTTTCCCCTACCTGAACCAGTTTTGGAAAATTAGGGACTATATTGGAATTTATGTAATTTATAAATACAATTGCAAATTGAAATCAAGTAATCATTTGATTGTAACTATCGATACGAACGCCACAAAAAATTAGACCAAAAAACATAAGCTAACCGTCCATTGAATAGTACCGCAATGCGTGGCATAAGATTGCACGCAATGCTAAGCCATGGATCACGTGTAGGAACACCACTGAAATAAAGTACAAAATATTTTATGCATATTTGTTATTAGCAAACAAACATATAATTTTGGGACAATTAGCGATAAGATCATGAATATCCTTTTGAGTGACCTTTACATCGTATCCATGAAAATAAATAAATTGTATTCGGGGTAGTTTTGACAATGAGTTCAATACAGTGTCCGTTATATCTATTCCATTGATGTCAATGTATTGAATTCGAGGCAATTGTTTGTCGATATCGAGATCGAGGGTAAAGTCTTCGCCAGTTATGGCTCTTCGGGCCCATAGAGTGAAATGTATGAGTCGTTTGCATCCACTCAACGATTCACTGCTAAACACAAACTCATCCGGATATTCACCAACCAATTGGAGTCGTTTTAATTGCTTAAAGTGTGTATTAATTGTTTGCATCAATTGAGACATTAGTTCACAGGAATCGATGCGACCATCGATTGATAGACTCTTGAGTTGACCACAATTCACACCAATTTGTTTCAATTGACAATAATTGACAGCTTTTCTTGAATATGATCCTGATATTCTTAAATCAATCAATTGTGGCATTTGTGACAAACCAGTCATCAGTATATCAATGGACCGCTCATCACAACTGATATCGATGTCCACATCAATTGATTTCATTGTCTTTCCATATCTGTTGACAAATATTTCAAATATCTTCACTCGTGTAACGAAATCGAAATGAGTTTAATCTACAAAACAATACATCATTTGAGGGATCAGTGGACATAGAGTTGCCATAAATCATAAGTTGTGTCACATTTGTACATAATTTAAGACAATTGTCGACACACTTCCAGACAGCGGTGTCGTTACGTCGAGCGTGATATCCAATTGATTGCAAACTTTTGGCAAACTTTGCGAAAAACTGCAATTGTGTCGACACTCAAGACATCGAAACGGATGTAAATATGCTGTAAATGATTGCAATGTTTAATAATTGACTCAAACATTGAGTTTCTATTGAATGACACAATCAATGGACCGATTCTTGAGATGTTTTGGCACGAATTGAGTATCCGTTTAAAGGACTTAATATTTAGTATGCGTTCATATGTGAAGTCCGTTTGTGTCTTATATACCACTGTCTGCCACTGTTTGGACACACATTCACATCGGAACCGGTCTTCGAGAGTGAGATAAGACAACACTTCTTCACACAAATCATCGCCGAATCTATCGAAAGAGTCTTTGCCGTAGACTTGTGTTAGCGTTGATTCACTTGTTGGAGCCATTCCTCTGCGGTTATTATCAGTGAATAGTTTGCAATCAACTCATGTATTATTCATACCAATACTTGTATCAGTATTTGTATTTAATTGATCACTCATTTTACTAATTTTGATACTACTTTATACAGTATTATATTATAAATAATTTAGTAATCTGACAATTTTTAATTAAATTTTATATGTTTATTAAAACTTTGTGCGAAATTATTATTATTTAATGATGTAGTTATGTAATAAGTGCAAACTATCTTAAAATAGCTGTTACATAGCAAAAGAAATTGTAATGATATTTTATAACGTAAAATACAAATTGATTTAATGTTTTGCATAACATATTGATATTACCATGGGTACAATATTATTTGTTCGTTGTATACAAATATTCGGTATAAACAAAATATTAGAAATAATGAAGTAACTAATGTGTTTAATAATATTATTATAATTTAATAAATCATTATTATTAAACACAATTATTATTTAACCGCATATAATAAAATATCATTTAAAATGATTAACATGATTATCAATAATTGAAAATATTATACTTTAAAAATTAATTATTAACATAAAATTAACAATGCAATGTTAGCATGAAACAATTATTAATTCCTGTTTTTAGCGATCATGGTGAAACAAACCATACCACAACCCAGTACCAGGAAAAAGGCACATATTATGAGTCCTATCAAAATAATCCAGTAGGCCGTCAAATATAGGGTGGGGTGACAGTAGTCTAGTGAGTCCGCGTCTGTAAAGTCTGGGAAACGTGCGCTAAACACCAGGATCATCACTGTGTGGGAGTAATTGTATGTGATTATATTAATAATCATGATGATTTATAAAATAATTTACAAGTAATAGCCAAAACGGATTTAATTAAATTCAAAATCCATTTGATTGCTAAGATTAGCTTGTTTGAATTTTTATCTCTGTCTGTGTTAAAGTTGAACAGATTAAGTATCCCGCACACTATCATCAATATGGGAATAGCCGGTGATCTGGGACAGTCGTGCACATAGATTGAGCCTAAAATTAATTTGCATCACAATTAAAATTTATATGATCATAATTATTTTTTAATTTAGTAATATAAGTAGTAGTATTTACCCATAATAATAAACAGAAATTGTGAGAGAAATGCTATGATTACGAGTCCTATGAGAACCGCTACAAACAGTGCTGTAAAAATAAATAACGAGGGTCAGATTTAGAAGTTAAAATTTTTAATAATCTAAGTTACACTATTGACATAAGTAAACATATTTATGATTTAAAATTTTTTATGATGATACTAATACAATACAAAGTCAAACACAGTTAGCATACCTCCCACTCCTGCCAACGCCCCAAAACATGCCAGTCCTCCGCAAAAGTTCAAACAGTCCTTCAGTTCAAAGGTCTTACTTCCCTGTCTATTATACCCGTCCACAGTATCCGTGCCCTTCAATGGCAACGCCTCCGGATTATCCNATTTAATGTATGTTAATTGTCAGGGTTATATTATTATTTAAATTAAAATATATTTAATATATTGACAGAATTATTAGTTTTTATTTTTAGTTAACAAATGGTAGAAACAAAAGGTTATTCCCATTGCTATACATACACAACCTATGACCACAAGTATCATTAAGATATAATATGCGGATAAATATAGTGTAGGGTGACAGTAGTTAAGTGATCCCGGGTCATTATAATCAGGGTATCGAGCATTGAACACACTCAGTGACACTATAATTGAAAAAATAAATAGAGAATTAAATATAAAAAATAGATACATGATAAATTATAAACTAACATAAAACTACTGAAGTGGTTCGGACTATATTCAGAATGAATTTACTAATCCGAAGTATCTTGCTACTATTTTTGTCCGCATTAATGATAAATATATGAAAAATCCCCGCAATAATCATCAATACAGGAATGGCTGGGTCTTTTGGACAGTCGTGTACATAGACTGAGCCTAAGGTTAATAAGTAAAGTGATTAGAAAATTTGAACATGATCATTGGACATTAATTATTTACCAAGTATGATGAATAGTAATTGTGTGCCATAATATAATAGTACCAGGGATACAACAAAAGCTAGGCATATTGCTATAAAAAACAAAAATGTCTAGGTTATACTTAATATGATTAATATAATCACAAACATTGTTACAAATAATAATATACACTAATATTAAAAATTTAAAAAATTATTTTCTACAGTGATTAAAAATATTGCTTACCACCGCTTAGCCCTGTCAAATCTCCAAAACATGCCAGTGCTCCACAACTGGTCAAACAGTCCTTTAACCGACTCTTACCCTCTTGTCTATGATACCCGTCCACAGTATCCGTGCCCTTCAATGGCAGTGCTTCTGAATTATCCATACGAGTGGTCACTGGATTTGATTCATTCATTTGGCGATCGTATGGATCATTAGTTTCATCCGTAATATTATTCTCGTGTTCATTATTAGCATTCAATTTATCACTCATTTTGTATAAAAATTCAATTTCATATTTTAAACTCAATTATATATTTTTAACAACAATTGTTCGTATAAATGTATGAAATGTTATAAAATTATATTTATAATATTCTTTAGAATATATTAGTTTACTTAAAAATACACTTAATATTTCACAAATTATTAGAAATACATATCATTTTTATGAATTTATATAAAAACATATTACGTAAACTAATATTGTTATACAATATACTGGAAATTGTGAGCAATCTACTGAATATTGACGCACCGGTATTGTGTATTGCCGGTAACAACCCTATCATAGATTCCCTTCACTACAATCATATTAGTGGTATATGTGATCATATCATTACTATTATATTTCAGATAATTTCTATAAATTTTATAAACATTCATTAATTTCTTATCACAATTATTAAATAAATGATACAGTTAATATGTATTAACATGTTTTATTTGTCACTCAAATGGATGTGGTATATATTGCGAACAGCATTATCAAGTGCATGTAGGTTCTAGTAACTCAGGCAACTATTACATTTTGTAATTTACCAAGAACATTTTTTATTTTATGTAGTGATTGTTTACGTATTTATGGCCCGTTACCCTAATTTTACTAACCGTATGTCACCGGAGTTTTGTCACCCAACATTATATTTGACAGTTTATTGGATCCTGATCGTATTATTTGTATTGGTTGCCATTTGTTTGTTATTAGGATTTGTGGCATTATGTTTTACTTTAATAAACGGCCGTAAAAATAGAAATACATAAATATAAATTAATCCTAAATTATTTGTAATATTGGTTTATTTAAAAAAGATACTATTTAATTTACTTTGAAATGATACCTTAAAATGATAAATGTTAAAATAATTTATTTTTCTAAATGATTACGATATGATTTTTCATATTATTATATTAATTGATTCTACAAAATAAAACATGTTAATACATATTAACTGTATCATTTATTTAATAATTGTGATAAGAAATTAATGAATGTTTATAAAATTTATAGAAATTATCTGAAATATAATAGTAATGATATGATCACATATACCACTAATATGATTGTAGTGAAGGGAATCTATGATAGGGTTGTTACCGGCAATACACAATACCGGTGCGTCAATATTCAGTAGATTGCTCACAATTTCCAGTATATTGTATAACAATATTAGTTTACGTAATATGTTTTTATATAAATTCATAAAAATGATATGTATTTCTAATAATTTGTGAAATATTAAGTGTATTTTTAAGTAAACTAATATATTCTAAAGAATATTATAAATATAATTTTATAACATTTCATACATTTATACGAACAATTGTTGTTAAAAATATATAATTGAGTTTAAAATATGAAATTGAATTTTTATACAAAATGAGTGATAAATTGAATGCTAATAATGAACACGAGAATAATATTACGGATGAAACTAATGATCCATACGATCGCCAAATGAATGAATCAAATCCAGTGACCACTCGTATGGATAATTCAGAAGCACTGCCATTGAAGGGCACGGATACTGTGGACGGGTATCATAGACAAGAGGGTAAGAGTCGGTTAAAGGACTGTTTGACCAGTTGTGGAGCACTGGCATGTTTTGGAGATTTGACAGGGCTAAGCGGTGGTAAGCAATATTTTTAATCACTGTAGAAAATAATTTTTTAAATTTTTAATATTAGTGTATATTATTATTTGTAACAATGTTTGTGATTATATTAATCATATTAAGTATAACCTAGACATTTTTGTTTTTTATAGCAATATGCCTAGCTTTTGTTGTATCCCTGGTACTATTATATTATGGCACACAATTACTATTCATCATACTTGGTAAATAATTAATGTCCAATGATCATGTTCAAATTTTCTAATCACTTTACTTATTAACCTTAGGCTCAGTCTATGTACACGACTGTCCAAAAGACCCAGCCATTCCTGTATTGATGATTATTGCGGGGATTTTTCATATATTTATCATTAATGCGGACAAAAATAGTAGCAAGATACTTCGGATTAGTAAATTCATTCTGAATATAGTCCGAACCACTTCAGTAGTTTTATGTTAGTTTATAATTTATCATGTATCTATTTTTTATATTTAATTCTCTATTTATTTTTTCAATTATAGTGTCACTGAGTGTGTTCAATGCTCGATACCCTGATTATAATGACCCGGGATCACTTAACTACTGTCACCCTACACTATATTTATCCGCATATTATATCTTAATGATACTTGTGGTCATAGGTTGTGTATGTATAGCAATGGGAATAACCTTTTGTTTCTACCATTTGTTAACTAAAAATAAAAACTAATAATTCTGTCAATATATTAAATATATTTTAATTTAAATAATAATATAACCCTGACAATTAACATACATTAAATACTCTACTATACATTATAATATATAACTCAATTAGTATATTTAGTTATTATACAATAGAGATTATACATCTAATATTTTGTAACATAGTTGCCATAGAAATACAATGAAAATAAAAGTGTTAATCAATCAAAGTAATCTGCTTGCTAAGGTAGTTAAGGTATGCAATTAAGGAATCTATGGGTGGGTCATAATGGCTGCACATACCGGTGCACACACACATATTTAATAAACAAGTTATGGGCTAACTATGTATTAATTAAACTATAAATAGTATTATAGAATTTATTTATTAAAACTATAATAAATAATTTCCTATTAATTGTTAAAATCGTGTTTCAATAAAAAAATATTTAATCAAATTTCTCAACAAAATGAGTGACGAATTGAGTGCTAATAATAAACACGAAACCGATAGTCCGGATGAAACGGATGGCCCACCGGATGACCAAATGGATGAATCCAAGGCAGTGGCCATTCGTATGGATAATCCGGAGGCGTTGCCATTGA